GGAATGCTTTTGAGGGGAAGCATCCCCTCCCTCCCACAGGCTGCCAAGACTTAAACCCCCCAGTGACACCCCCTAACCCTGCAACTAAAGCTGTGGTCCTAAAAAGCAAATGCAAAGAAGAAAAGACAGATGACCTGACGGTGACTCTCTTCTTAGCTTCCCTGCAGGAAGGAGAGGCTTAAATACTCCCAGGCTGGCTCCCAGGACAGCATCCCACCATTCAAGAAGAGCCTTCTCTGTTTGCCTGAGGTCTTCCTCCAGTGAGGACAGCACACTGAGCCCCACCACCCCCACACTGACAAAGTGAGAAGTTTCTGCTCTGGTGCTTTAAGCAGCTTGGTCACCCCACTCCCCATGGCCCTGAGGTTGTGACTTGCAGGTCATCGTTTCCCAGAAGAGCAGCCACGGGGAAGTCAGGGGGGCACCAGCCTGCCCTGGCTCACTGCTGACTCACAGACCCTTCCCTGTGCCTCAGCTTCTCCTCCTGAGCCAAACCTGCCCCTTGCTGGGCACTCTGGTGAGCTCTACAGCTGGAAGCTTCACCCTGCAGCTGGCTGTTTCTACCTGTGCTATGTACACACAGAAAAAAAAGCCATTTTTCCCCTCTGACCCAGCTAAACCAGCTGCAGAGTCACCTCCCCACAGGCAGGATCTCACACCAGCCTCACTGTCCAGCTCAGGGCACACCAGGCTCAAAGTAACCCCCTGGGGTCTGGGAGGACACGGGGGATGTCCTGCCCAGCAAGGGGCCACCTGGGAGCCATGGGCTGGCACAGAGCTGGGTGTGAGCAGCTCCTCCTGGGGCATGGGGCAGACCTGCTGGTGGCTGTGGGTTGGGAAGCTCCTGCTCTGCTTGGGACTTGCTCCAAAATACCCTGTGCAGACAGGAGGAACAAGAGGGGGCTGCAGAATCCTGCAGTGTAGACAGCTCAGTCCTGCTGTCCTCTGGGGGTGGGTGTGCATGCAGGAAAGCCAGTGTGTCACATTTTCTACACAACCACCACACTCCAGCCCCCACGGATGTCAGGGATCCCCACCACAAGAGCTGTGGGAGCCACTCCAGCCCCTCAGGAGAAAGCCAAGAGCTTCCTTACATCTTGACAAAGATGAGTCTTCACCTCTCAAGATCTCCTGAAACGCAGCCAGCTCTCTTTCAGCCACTTCTACTTAGGGGCCCAAAGCTTCTAAGCTAATCAATCAGGCTCTGAATGTATTTTTCCAGAGGAATGAGAAGATGGGGGAATGCCTCATGCTGCTGCCAGGCTCCCTCTGAGCCTCCCACCACAGCCCCTGCGAGTCAGGCAGAGGGGGAGCTGGGTGAGGAGACACCACAAAGGCCTGACCTTCCACCAGGACACACAACTGAGCAAACCCTGAGGAGGCAGCTCCCCTCTGCCACCCCAGGAAGAACAGAGAGGAGACAAGGAAGGAACAGGAGGGAAAAGCAAGAGAGAACCCCTCAGCCCATGGTTACGCAGCGAGTCGTGCCTTGGCCCACATCCCAGCCACCCAAGGTGAACAACTTTCATTCTGAACCTTTTCATCCAACTTTCACAATAGCTTATTATTCCACAGAGCTGCTGAGCAATGTTTGCCTTTCTCCTCTGCACCCTGGGGAACCTTGCCCAGATCCAAATTTCCAGCCCTGAAAATACAAGGCCTTGAAACCAGGAAGACAGTAAAATCACTTGAAAAAGAAAATAAAAAAAAATCCTCAAATTTCAATGATAAGATAGGACTGGTCACTGGGAACCAATTCTGCAGTCTCCTTGGCTGCTTCATGACCCAAATGTGACAGTGTCAATGCCTGAGTGATCCCAAATCTGGTTAGAGCACTTAGCCACATACCAGCCACATACTTTTTTTTATTTTATGATTATATGCCTTTTAGCTTGTGCTTCCTGATTTTATTTAAAGGCTTCAAACCTGGGTGCTTGAAAACAAGAAAAACAAGATGCTTAAGAAATAAAGACAACACAGTTGGCAAGGAAATCTGCCCCGGGGTGAAAGAATCCCAAGAGAAAATGAAAGTGAGATGCTAAGGAGGAAGATCCACCTCATGCAGGCCAGGGAAGGGGAAAAGCAAACCTCTCTCAGTGCTGTCTCCCTGTCTGCAGACTCCCTTTAGCAGCTCCTGACTGACATATTCTGGGCACGGTTGTTACGGTTCCTTCCCAGACCTCTGGCAAGTTAGTTACAAGGCAGTTCAAGGCATCCTCACCCCAGCAGAGGATCAGAGCTGAGATCAGAACAGCAACACTCACCTCTGCAAGGTAAAGGATGCAGAACTTCCGATCTTCTGAACCTGGAAAGAAGGAAAAAAGGATCAGCACTGGAGGCAGAAGCTGCGTCTCTGCCGAGCGGAGCCACTGGCAGAGGCCCTGGCTGTGAGACAGCGGGCACTGAATGTTCATTGTTGTCCCCCCCAGTGCCAGGCTGTGAGCTGGAGTGATGTATGCTGCATCTGCAGGGCCAGCGTGGCTTCTCCTCCAGCCCTGTCCTCTTGGCAGAGGGTTTGTTTCATGCAGAGGCCACGTGCAGGCTCCTCTGCCCGACCTGCAGCCCGACTCCTTCCCACACACAGGGTCTGGCCTCTCCCACCTTACCTCTGGGGTCACTTGGCTCCCAGGACAAGCCAGAGCAGCTCCTGTTCCTCTGCCCTTGCTCACGCCCAGCTTCTTGCCCTAATGCCCTCAGTAAGGCTGGTGGTAGCTCTGTCTGGTGCTGTCTGTCCCAGCCTCCAGCAGTGGCAGTGCCTGGGGTTGGTGCCTTGCCAAGGGGATGGAGCCAAACCCCCAGGCAATGGGAGGTGGCTGACAGGAGGTGGGGGGAGTTCCTCCTGCCCTGCTGAGCTGAGGGCAAACTCCCCAAGCTCCCACCAGCACCAGGTCGGAAGACCTGGCCAAGGGATTTGCCCTTCCACACCTTCAGGAGAAGAGATGGTGCTGGAGAAAATGCAATGGCCAACGCTGTGATCCTCAGCTTGCTAAATCACAGAGCATCCCAGCGTGGCCCCTCACCTTCCTGCCAGCCATCCCAGGGGATGTGCTAGCTCTGGCTGCTCCGCCAGGCTGCTTCCTGCAGGCCTAGCCTTGCCTGTCCCCAACAAAAAGGCGTTCCTGAAGATTTCCCCTCGTCTTTGATCCCTGCTGGTGAGACCAGAGCGTGCCCAGCCCCAAGGGAAGCCAGCTCCTGGCATACATCAGCCTCTCAGGAGGACACGAAGCTGCTGCAGGACAGTGTCACCTCAGCTCTGAAGCAGGACATCCCATCTCCTGGAGGCAGCTCACTCCCCCTCACCAGCTTTGCCCCTGGCAGCATGCAGCACTGCCAGGCTGCAGCTCTCCCAACCCTTCTAATGACATTATCTCTGCCATGAGAGCAGAGCCACAGCCCGGGCAGGGCTGCAGAGCCTGCCCAGAGCCCTGTCAGCACCAGCTCTGCTTCATCTCAACAGCCCGAGCTGTGCTGCCCATGGGAACGGGCTCTGGGCAGCAGTGAAACACCCTGTTCCCTGAGGAGAGCAACCCTGCAGCAGGCAGCAGCCCAAATGTCAAAGGGCTGTGATCCACCGAGGGACTCCATGCCTGCAGTCAGGCCACGGGCAGTGCAAAACCCATGAAGAGAGCAGTGGGCTGGAGCCATTTCCTGGAAGTCTCTTCCAGCTGCCCTTGGGCACCACAGCCCAGCCTGTGCTGCCAGCTTCCCTCCTGGGCAGGCTGCAGGAGGCTGCCAGCCAAAGGCTCCAGCTCTCCACAGCAATGCCCCAGCTCTCCCAGCACCTTCTTCCACAGCTCCCAGCAGGACCGTCCTGGGAGCATTTTCCTCAGGAAGCCAAAGCCCCTCAGCCCATGCTTTTCCCCTCCAGGGAGGGTTTGGAGTCAGGATCTGAGCCTGCTGCTGGCACACCATGAGCCCACCATCCCTTTATGCTGTTTCTGCTTCCCAAGTGGTCAGTGGTACAAGAAACATCCCACCTTCTCAGCCAGGCTCTCTGCTCCTCCCTGCACCACGACCAAAGCTCTCCAGCCTGCCTTGCAAAGGAGGCTGCAGAAGACCAGCATGTCCCAGCCACTTTAACCAAGCTTTCCTGCCTGATGCAAGGAACAACTCACCCTCTAGAGACACGCTCCCACAACAAAGAAAGGGGACATCAGAGTGTAACAGCCCCAGGAATGACTCCACTTCCCTTAGGCCTCTGTTTATTCCTTCTGCAAGGTGAACAAGTGATCCAAACAAAGCCCTAAACCATCAGAATTAAGTTCCCTCCCAAATTCCTCTCTCGAGCTACAAATCTTGGCATTAGCCACCTCCACAGCCAGCAGCTCCTGTCCCTGGTCCCTCAGAGCTCACTGCTACACGTGGCCAAGCAGCCCAGTGCCTCCAGGACACACAAAGCAGGGAGCCAGCCTAGGCTGAGGAACTGCCTAAATACCAATTTCTACCAGTACCTGGTGCTCAGCACATCTCCTGCAGCACAGATCAGAGGCCACGAAAGACCAGGGAGAGGCAGGACGTGGTGCTGGGGAGGTGGCAGCCAGCAGCCCAGGCTAACCCCCACACAGCACTACCTCTGGGCCTTTTTGGACAGCTGAACAGTGCAGCCTCTCCATCAAACTCAGTGAAACACTACCAGGAAACACACAGGAGAAAGAAAATCTCACTTCAGGACCTCTCAGTTTCTTCCTGATGTGTCGTGATGGGAACTGGCTTGTCTTTCAGAGTAACTTGAATGGGCTGCTGCACTCAGCAGAGTGAGAGGAGGGTGTGAGTCTGGTGGGGACACATCTCCTCCCAGCTCCCAGCAGGGCTGCAGCTCTCAGCCCCAGCTCTGCCCACTGCCCCAGGCAACCCAAGGAGAGCAGCCACTGCTCACAGGGCTTGGGTGGTGCCTGCTGGGCGTGGGGTCTAGAAGATGGGAAGAGAGAGAGGATGGATCTGCTCCTCTCCACAGCCCCCTTGCACAGCTCAGGGGACAGGTCCCCAGCTCCTCAGCTCTGCTGAGCAAGGACAGGTCCCCAGCTCCTCAGCTCTGCTGAGCAAGGACAGGTCCCAGCTCCTCAGCTCTGCTGAGCAAGGACAGGTCCCCAGCTCCTCAGCTCTGCTGAGCAAGGACAGGTCCCCAGCTCCTCAGCTCTGCTGAGCAAGGACAGGTCCCAGCTCCTCAGGTCTGCTTGAGTGAGGACAGGACTGTGTCTGGCACCCAGCGAGGAGCCCCCGGGGCAGGGTGCTGCAGGGTGAGAGCAAGGCTGTTGTGCACCTCCAAACCTGACCACCAAGAGGGGAGGAGCTTGTCACCCTCTGTGGCACGTGTCCTTGGGGAGGTATGGCAGGGTGCAAGCCCTGGGTGCTTCCCAGCACCCTTAGGGGAGCAGGGAGAATCAGAGAATGGCTGAGGTTGGAAGGGACCCTAGAGATCATCTCATCCAAATTTTTTTTTCCCCTGGCCACGGGCGGGGACACCTCTCAACTAGACCAGGCTGCTCAAGGCCTCATCCAGCCTGGGCTTGAACACCTCCAGGGAGGGGCATCCACAAGAAGCCATGAAGCCACAGCAGGCCACAAACCCCATAAATCACACTCTGGCCTCTGCCTTGGAGCTATCTGCTGTACAACACAGTCACTTGGGACACTGGGGACAGCCAAGCAACATGTGAAAAGCCCTTGTTGGCAGGATCCTGGCTGAGGATGGGTCTCCTCATCCCAGCTGTGAAACAGGAGCACTCCTCTCTGTCCCAAAGCCCAGCACATCCACCACCCAGGGGGGGCAGGATCCCAGCGAGGCGCTGGGCTTGGCGTGGAAATTCCCACAGTATCTAGTGAGGAAGCCAGCCCTGTCAGGCTGGAGGCCTTGGCTGCTGTGCTGCTCATCAGCCGTGCTCTCCTTCTAAAGCAGGAAGACAGAGCATTGTAAAGCAGATTAGGCTGATTTGCTTTCGCCCAGCGCGGGGAGCAGCAGAAACAGGAAACATCACAATGGTCCTCAGTGTACCGGAGATGTCTCAATTGTTGTGCTCAGCAATACGCCTGTTCCTATTCATGGGCCATTCAGTTAGTTAGGAGAGCAACAGAAAATCCCTGCCAAAAGGGACAGCTATCTTTTCGTTCTGGAGCAGCCCTGCCCAGAGCAGGGGGTGAGCTGCCTGCAAACCCACCCTGCCGGGTGCCCAGTGGGTGCTGCTGAGGCAAACAGCCCCTTGGGAGAGGCTTGCTGAGCTGTTCCAGATGTGACCCAGCCAAGCTGTTACTGCAACAAGGAAGTGAGGGGCAAAAAAACACTCACAAAATGCAAGCTCTCTGCCTGAGGTCCCAGGGCAGAGCTGCAGCCAGACCCCCGTGCATGGAGCAGGGAAATCAGAGAAGATGATTTCTTCAAGGGTTCAACAAGAGCAGGGTTGTCCAACAGCCTTCAAGAGCAACCAGGGGCACCCAGCACCCTCACTCCAGGAGCAGACACTGACCAACAAGGGCTTCAACAAAGAACAATTTCTTTTGTCTTGCTTCTTAGAAAGAAGCAGTGCCAAGAACAAACTCAACAAACCCCAGGGAAGCTTCAATGACTTCTCTAAATAGTCATGCCGTGGTGCCCTGTCTCCCTCACTGTGTTTCTGCCCCCACCAAATGGGTCAGGGAATTAATCCAGGAGCAGAGATGTTGTTGAAAATGGGGAATAACAACTGGCAGGCAGCCTGAGATGTCCACCACAGCATTGCAGATGTTCTGAGGTTCACAACAGCACGGGGCACGTGGGGAGATGCAGTTCACCCACAGAGCTCACAGCTGGGCTGGGGAAAGTCATGGGAAGTGGCAAAATTCATCTAGAAAATGATCCCTTTGGAGAAGCAGCCCAGATCTGGATTAATCCCTTTTGGTCAGGGCCACAGGACTGCATAAATGTGTCAGCTCATACAGTTATAGAGTCCTCTGGGCTGGAAGGGGCCTCTCTGGTGGGCTCCAGTCCAAGCCCCTGCCCACAGCACCAGATCAGGGCACTCAGGGCCATGCCCAGGTGGGTCCTGAACACCTCCAGGGATGGAGATTCCACAGCCTCTCTGGGCAACTTAATATTTGACCAATCTCACCATTAAAAAGTATTTCCTTATATCTAATGACAATTTCCCACGTTGGGGTCCCAGTGCAGCAACACTCACTGCCTGGGCTCGAGGAGGAGCTGTGGCACCAACCCATACCCCAAAAGTGACTGCACCAAAGACAAAACAAGGTGAGGCTGGGCACAGGGCCAAGAAGTGGCTCCACCACAGCAAATAGGATGTGGTAGAGCAATTCAGTTGTTCCTCTTTTGACCCCGAGTAGCTAAAGGCCATCTTTTATACAGCCTAGGCATTTCAACTTGAATTAACTGATTTCCAGCCATTCTCCTGCCCTGGAAGTTCTCCCTGAGCCCTCAGCTGGACATGAAAGCCCAGCCAAAGTGAAGAGAGTAAGGGCATGGTCCACAGCCTGGCACCAAGGTCAGGGTTTGCTCTTTTCTCCTCTCACCCTTCCCCAAGGGGGTGTGTGTGGGGAGAACCGTGGGCGGCTGAAGAGAGAAGCAGCAGAGTAAAGGTCAGGAGGGCTCAGCCAGGCTCCCTTGGAGACAACCTCTGCAGCCTCTCCAGGCACCACGGGGGAAACCTCAAGACTTCCCTTTCTCAGCCTCAGCAAGCCCCCGCTGTCACACCAGCAAGGGGAACAGCACAGCACAGCAAGACCCTGGGGAAGGCCAGCCCAAAATCCCTGAGAAATGCACCCAGAGAGCCCTGGAGAGCTGTGCTCCCCGAGTGCCCCTGAGGTGTCCCAGCAGATGGACTCTGGGGACTGGGTTAAAGCAGGATGGGAAGGGTTGTGCTGGCCCTGCACCCCAAGGAAGGACGATCTGGCAGCACCAGTTGGATGGTACTGTCACATACTGGAAGCAATGGGCTAGTGGGGTGCTATCCTTCTGCTGGCCAGAAACCATTATAGCTAGCAGCCCAGAAAATGCCCCAAATGTCTCCAGGTGCTGCTGCAGACACTCACCCTCCTGGAGCTTGACACTCTGCAGGTAGAGGGGGTTCCTCAGCACGTTGCAGCGCCCAGGCTCATCCTCCTTGGTGAAGAGCAGCAGGTCAGAGTAGACAAAGAGGGTCACCTGGAAGCACAAGAGCAGCAAAGAAAAAGCTATAAAGAATTCATCTCTTGGCACTGAGACAGTGTCCTGGAAAGGTTCTCTCCCCTGGGGAGACGTACCAGCCACAGCAGGCAGCACAGGCAACCCTTCCCAAAGGGGCTGACTGCTGCTGCACCCCTCGGGGTGCTCCCAGCAAGCTTTGGACGAGGCTCCCCCAGCTTGGCAGCCACCTACCAAGGCTTGTGGAGCCCCGTGACCAGAGGGACAGGCCTGCCCAACAGTTTAACACCACACAAACACACCCTCTGCTCTCTCCTGTCACTTCCCATTTACATAAGTTGTAAATCAGAGGAGCAGGAGGAGGGAATAAGTTGCCAACTAATCCCAGCACGCTGTAGGAGTCTGAACCTCAAAGCAGCCGTGATCTCCCTGAACCCCCCCACAAAGAAGCTTCTCACTGGCCTCAGTCTTTGCACACCCCATTTCGTTTCCCTTGAGAAAATAACAGGTTGGGTTTCACAGCAGCAGAGCCCATGAGAGCAGTTGCAGGGAACAAACTTGACACCTTTAAACCACGCTGACGGGTGGAAAGCAAACACTGAACCAAGTGTCTGCCCAGCCCCGGGCTCAGGCAGAGGCTCACGTGGCTGAGAAGCTGGGAGCTACTCTGGAGCAGTGCTAAGTGCTCACAGCTCAGAGGGTAGATGTTGTTCTGCTTCTGGCTCTCGCCTGAGGTCCCTGGTTCAGTCAGTATAGATCAGTGTGATCTTTAGAGGTGGTGGAGTCCCCATCCCTTTGGGTTTGAAAGCCTTGTAGATGAGGTGCTTGGGGATATGGCTCAGAGGAGGATTTGGTAGAGTATGGTACAGTGGGGCTAATGGTTGGACTTGAAAATCTTAAAAGGTCTTCTCCAACCAAAGCAATTCTCTGGTTCCATAAGAAGAATGAGCTTCTCCACTGGACTGGAGATCCCTGACCCAGAAGCTTACTGGGGGTGAGTAGCTTGGTGCCATCACTATGCCAGTAGCTGAAATCTGAGCCTGTCCTGCTCTCCAGCAGAAGCTGAGGGCACACAGCAAAGCTCAGCACAGCCACTCCCTGGCACCTTCCAGGCCAGTGGATGTGTGGATGGTGTGGGCACACTGGGTGCTGGACCTTCTGCATGCTGCCAAACCACACACGGCTCTCAGCACAGGAGGCAGCATCACAGCACGCAGCTGCTCTTCACCACCCCTTGGGATGCTCCCAAAAACCTCCCACAGCAAAAGGAAAGCTATTTTGCAACACTGAGCAACAGCAAGAAAGGTTTTGTGGCCTTCTAGCAACCCTTTGGCAGCCGCAGCAAACAACCCAGCACGCCAGGGGCTCGCTGGGAGCTGGCACTGCTGCCACCCCCAAATCCCATCTGAAAGGTGACTTTGCTCGGGACAGGGGCTGAGTCACCGTGGATGTGCTGCCAGCTCCCTTTGTCTCCATGCCCAGCAGCTGATGGGCAGGCACCAGGAGGAGGACAAGCTCAGTAACAGTCCATCACATGCTGGTGAGGCTCATGCCAGGGCAGCAGCATCTGGCTTCGAAATCGACAACAAGCCCTGGCCACAAGATTTCTCCTTGCTGTGCAAATTCATTTCTGTGGGATTCTTAATAAGCACAAAGCTGCTGGTGTAGCTTTAATTGACAATGAAACCAGGGAGTGTCTGTTTTTCTTCTGCATTATTTGGAAAATCCCTTCCTCTGCTCTCAACACAGTGTTGGCCTCGTGCCCACATTCACCCTCTTCCTTACTTCTGACCTTATTATTAACACAAGGAATAACGAAGTACAAACTACACTATAAACTTTCTCCCACACTCATCTGGTTCCAAAAGGAAACTTTTCTGGGACCTGTCTGGTGCCATCCCAGGTCCCTCAGCCTCCAAGAAGGGACGTTCAGGGATTTTGAGAACTCAGCAAAGTGAAGGAGGTAAAAGCACAATCTGCAAGTGGTCATGCTGGAAAGGGAGGCAAGAAAATGAAGACCTAACACACACAGAAGTTTAAAACAGAAAAAAAGAAAGATTGGAAAGATCAGCAGGGAAAAAAAAATAGCATTTCAAACCCAAGCAGACTGAAATAGGGAATCATGGAAACAGAAACACATCAAAAATATTGAAAGGTAACATTGTGCTTTTATGGGAAGATGGGACTGATTGAATTCAGGATGTGGAGAAGATAAAAGCGCAGCCAGTGCGGTTACGTAAGAGCATCTCTATTAGATGCTGCTTCCAGGAAGACAATTTCAGAGCAGCTCCACACAGAACAGTTGACAGAGGCCCCTCTGCTCCTCCTGGTAGAGGGGGGAAGAAAACGAGGGTGTCCTTTCCTTTCCACCCAGACAGCCAGGGCCTGCCCAGAGCAGCCCAGCACCGCGGGGCGCGGGGCTCTGCTGGCAGAGGTGGGGGCAGGACTGGCCCTGTGGGGCTGAGCACTCCCCCCACTGCGGGGCTGAGCACAGGAAACTCAAAGCAGGGGTGACCCCGAGGCAGCAGCCAGCAGGTACAAGAGGGGAGGCCTGGAACGAGTGATCTGGAGCTCTGCCCAGGGTTGCCACCACCCCACCGACAAGGGGTGACACCTCTCCAGCAGCCCTTTGCACACAGCTCTGGTACCTGCCAGGAAAGAAGTCACAGGGCTCATAAAAGCCACAGAGCAAACAGAAAAGGAACACAGCACCTGAACTCATCCAGGCAAGACATAGAGCCCACCCTCCAGGCTCCTTGGGGAGCTACAGTATCTTTGTGTATCTCCCCAAACCGATTTCCTACCCCAAAATCAGAAATAAAACAAGGGACATGAGGAAGGGACTCCTCTGAAGACAGGCAGAGGCTCAGCTCTGGTACCACCAGTGTGAGCAAGGCCACGTGGCAGTTGTCACACAGACCTTTTAGTGGAATGTGAATAGATTTTACTGGGGAAAAATGAACATTCAGAGAGGCTGACACTGATGTCCCAGACATCTGGGTGTGCTCTGAACCAGGGCAAACGGCAAAAAAAGCCTCTTCTGCTGATAGGTTTGACTGACTACAGAAGATAGCTGCTACAGAAGGATGGGGTGTGTTTAAAGGGTTTCCTAAATGAAAGCAAGAGGAAATGCAAGGCAGGAGGGGAGGTGGAAAGCAGTGGGTTAGTGTGATTCCCCAAGATGAGAACAGGAGAGCGACGCCGGGCCTGTTAGAGCCCTGCTGCAGGAGGGGGGAAGCAACAACCACACCTTGTAAAGCAAAATAGAGTAACCAAAACACTCCCAAAAGGTGCTCGGAAGCCAAGCCGTGCAGCCACAGCACCTTCACACTCAAGCTTCACAAGTTACCTCTTTTCCTAACGCAGTCCTCTTCTGCAACCCCAAAGAGGGGCTTCAGTGACACCAGTGCCAGGGCTGCATCTGCAGAGTTCACGTGTCCCCACTCATTCAATTGAGCTAAATGGATTTCTTAATCTCCTTCAATTTTATCAGATCCTAATTTATCCTTGTAGCTTGCTTGTGAGACCATCCAAACTCTCAGCATCCTCTAGGAAGCTGACATCACTGTTGGACTCACTAGACCAGGAATGACACAGCTCCCCACATCCAGGGTGAGATCACCCAGTCGCTTCTGTTCAGAGCTCCCTTGATCACAGGCTTCAAAGTCACAGCTTTGTTGGCTACAGCTTGGCACTGGCACTCACTCAGTTTTCACACAGAGCAGAGCAATAGGAGAACAAAATTAAAATTAATCCAGTGATCACAGCCTCGTACAGCAGCATCTCAGTGAGCTGAGCCCTGCTCTAAAGAGAGCAGCAGTCCAGGCTTTGCAGGTGGGGTAGATGCACATTCACAGGAACATCACCTGGGAGTTGGCCATGACCCTCCCAGGTCAGGGGAACTTTACCACCCTTCAGTGATACCTTAAAGCCTCAGAGTCATTGCTTTCCATGCTACAGCCCTAACTCTCTAAGCATGACCTGCTCCTTTGCCCCTGGAATTTTACTTCCATACAAGTATGGAATTCTACATCCTTGGAGAATGTTCTCCAGGCCCTCCCAGCAGCCTTTTAGCCCACAATGCATTTACCCTCTCTTACCCCCTCACACTTTTTTCTGCCAAAAGTGTTGGCAAGGGATTTATACACTCAGGAAGGATTTATACACTCATAAGCTCAGCTAGACCTCAATGAAGATACACCACTACACTTGCCCAGAGGAGATCCCTGTGAAGGCTTCAAGCTGTCACCCCTGAACCTCATTTCAGCTTACCTGAATCAAATAATCTGCTACCATGAACATCAGGGAAGAGCAGGCCCTGAAGACCTCAAGGGGTCATGCACCTACCCTCAAGCACTGACAGAAGTGGTGACTGTGCAGATAGGGAAATGGAGTAAAAAAAAAAAAAGAGGAAGAGAAAGATATTAAGAGGCAGTGAAGAAGAAGGGACAGAGTAAGTGGGGCTTTTGTGGTGGAAGGAGGAGGTGTTTCTGCTATTCTCACCCAAACAAAGCTGTCTAGAAAAAGCTGGAAACAAAGTCTTGAAACATCTGTGTCAGGGAGTAGGGTCTTGGTCAAAAAACTCACTGAAACTGGGAGGTGGCAACCCCATCCCAAGCCAGTGTTCCAGTGCCAGGAACTCCTGCTTGGGATGAGAGAGAAAACCTGCCTGCTCTGCAGAGAAGATCCTGAAACCTGGACATGCCAGTCCACGTCCTGCAGGCTCCTGGCAGAGCTGAGGGGTTTTAGAGCTCAAGGGAGGAGCATCCTGACCTGCAGCCCCTGCCAGGATGGCTGGAAAGAGAGCTGAGAAGGGGCTGAGTGTGGCCCACACTGTGAAGGTACCACAGAGCTTTGGATAGTCACCTCCAGGTACTTAAGAGATGGATCAGCCAGGACAAAGCCCGTGTCCAACACCTTGGGCACAGTCACCTGCACCACGCTGGTTCCTCTGGCACTCTGCAGGCTGGAGGGGTTTTAGAAGAGCGTAAAAGCTGGAATTGAAACAAAGTCTAGACAGGATGTGATTAAGGCCTGAATAAGGATTGCTCCAGAGGTAAGGTCAGGGAAAGGACAGAACCTGGCAAGCCTCCAGAGAGATAGGTTGGCTCCTTCAGGAGAGGGGAGAGAGTGTGCTTAGTGAGGGGGATGAAATGACTGACATGGAAACTGGCAAGGGGAAAAGATTCTGGGTTTTGGGAAGGAAAAAAAAGTAATAAATTAAACAGGACCTCCATCTCCAGCCCCTGCACCTGGACCTCTTCTCTTGAGCCACTTAACCAAGGCAGAACAAGATACAGAAAACAGTCCTGTGAATCACAAAGTGCTCTGCTTTGAGGGAGGCTGGGTGGGAAGAGCAGTGGGAAAATGGAAAACCACACAGAGTAAGGAATAAAGGATCAGTCAGAAATGGGCAGCTGGGAAGGCTGGGGAGGGAGAGAGCTCAAGTCCAGCAAAGAGAGAAGTCAGATCCCTTCTCTACAAGGGGAAGCTCCGTTGTGTCCAGGTCATTTTAGATCTTGCTGGGTTCAGAAGTTTAGGTTCCTTTATCTCACAGCCCACCAGGATCAAACCAGACACCCTTGTTCTGCTGGAAAAGGGAAGTTTCCGGCCATGCAGAGACCTGCTCCAATTCCCTGAAGCTCTGCAAAGCTGCTGTGACCCTGTGACACTCTGCAGACATGAGGAAGTCTTCCCCAGGGCCCTGGCTGATGTCCCAGCATCACTGCCTACAACTGTCAGCTCCCAGCAACACGGGGCTCAGCACCACTCCTGAGTTCCCACCAAGGGAATAATTCCTGCCCTCCAAAGCAGAAGCTGCCACATGTTTATTCCCATTCAGTGCTGCTGTTTTATTCACCATGGTTAGTCACAGGCTCTTGCCTTGCCCCCCTGCCAGGCTTACACACAGCCTCAAGGCACCATCATTCCCAAATGCTGCCTCACATTCCTGGCCAGCCTACAGCATCCTGCCCTTTCCTGGAAGCAGCTCCAGCTGGGAAATCCTTTTCCAGACTCATGTTCATCCTTCAAAAGCAGAGTCCTTTCCCTGAGACATCCTTTTTGGGACCCAGCCCAGCAGGGTGTCTGAAATGGCCAACGTGGCCCTCTGGGGACAGAGCAGCACATCCCCACCCGTCCTCGTCCTGAGGCTCTCCAGCATCTAAACATGAACACCCACACACTCACACTCTCCACCCAGGCTGCAAACAGCATTAGTCAGTCAGAATTATTCCACATTTGGCTGCTACTACAGAGCTCTGGGTCTCACCTGAAAGCAAGCAACTCCAAACTACCTAGGAGGATCCCAGCATGGTGGGGCTGGAAGGGACCTCTGGGGATCATCTCAACCCCCTGCTCCAGCAGCTCACCCACAGCAGGGTGCCCAGGATCACATCCAGGCAGGTTTGGAATCTCTCCAGAGAAGGAGACTCCACAGCCTCTCTGGGCAGCTGCTCCAGGCTCTGGAACTTTCACAGGAAAGAAGTTTTTCCTCATGTTCAGATGGAAGCTTCCTGACTTCAGGCTGGCCACCATACTCCCAAGCCACCACAGCACAACTGTGCTCCACAGCCACAGGTTCACCCAATTTTCATTCATGGAGGCACCCAGAAAAGCCCAAGCAGCAAAGAACAGCAGGAGAGAGGGGGGAAGAGTATTATTTACCTATCAGTGCCAAGTTTACTAATCAATTGTGCAATTTTTCATGTACTTGGGTAGAAAAAGAAAAAAAAAAGTTATTTAAATCAAAGCAAGGGATGAATTACACATTGAAAACCAGAAAGAGAGAGGAGTCACTTAACAGAACACAATCTTGTACTGTTTTGTACAGGCCAACAATATGATGTGTCTCTGGGATTCTACTGCTGGTGTTACCCAGAAACTAAAATTAGTGAAGTAAAAAGTCCTTTATGGCTCTGTGAAGATGACACATTGCTCATTCCAACTAAATTCAAACCAAAATTATTCAACACAGTGGTAAGATTATCTGCAAATGTCCCAAAAGCAACAGCAGTTTCCTCCAGCACTAGTGAGCAATGCATGAGTGGACTCTCCCAGATGCTGCTTCCTCTGTCCCAAATTCCCAATTTGCAGTTGGATGCAAGTGAAACCAGTGTAATCAACACGTCCAAACTCTGCCAGTTTGGGTGTTGAAAGTTGCCACACACACAGGTTCAGCATGTAGCCCAAATTTAGTTGTTCCCCCAGATTTTTAACAGCCCTCTGATAACTTCTCAGAAAAGAAGCTGAAGTAAGAACAGAGAGGAATTTGGACAAGACGTGTGACCTGTTTCAGGAACTACATTTCTGAAAACCCCTGTAACCAGTTCTCTGTCTGTTCTCTAATACTCTTGAACTCCTTTCTGTGTCTGCTGGAGGCCACAGCCACTGAGCTGTGACTGGCACACATCTGCCGCATACAGTTTATTCTTTGTGAGCAGGAAGGGAGCCAAGAAAAAAAAAAGCTGATTTCTAGCAGAGAAGAGTTTTGGTATTTAATTCATCTCATGGTAAACTGACTACAAGTTTCCCCAAATATGATATTTATCTAAGCACTGCCCAATAAAACATTTCCCTCTTCAATCTGCTACACAAGACTGAGAGCACATTGAGAAAGCTCAGACAGCATAGAGAGAATCTCACCTGTATAGTCCTGCTTCTGCTCTCATGAAGCAGCAGCTCCTCTGACAGAAGCAGAGTCCGGGCTGGGTTGCAAAGATCTAGGGGCTGTTTGAAAGGGAAAAAGTAAAAAAAAAGAGAAAAAGAAAGAACCAGTCAAACCTTCCACTGGAAGTGTGGTTTACCAGAAAAACTTTCCGCCCACCATGCCCACTCGCTCTTCACTTTAAGCTCTAAGTCATGTGGGGAGAAGCCACCTCACCCTGTGCTCAGAAGGATGGAGAGTCTGCAGTCCAGCTACAGGATGAAAACCCTCACACCTACGTCAGAGCCCAAAAAAGACAAGCAGCCCCTGGGCCCTGAGCCCGGGCTGGGCACGGGCACTGCGCGCAGGAAACACAGCCACCAGTGGCAGGTTGGCTGCTCACAGCCCTCAGGAGGAGCATTTGCTGCAGGGTTTTATGGATTCCTCTCACTCTAAGTTAAAGCAGCTTTAAGGAGGCTGCCCCCTTCTCGTGCCACGCTGCACACCCAGCTCCCCAGCCACCAGTTTGATGCTGGAGAAGAACGGGACAGGCTCAGCTGTCCTGCCTGCAGAACAAGTCCTGCCAAGCCAGCCCAGCACGGTCCTCCTGAGCAGGCATGGGAGGGTACTTGGAGTATGAGACAGTGCAAAGCAAAAAAAACAGTTCCTGAAGTGGCACAAACACCCCAAACTCAATCCTGGACTCGAGTTTTGGGAGTAAAGAGGCAGAAATGCCAGTTGTGTTCCTATCAAAAGGCAAACTGTGCACCCAGCCTCACCAGTGCCAAGTACACAGGATCAGATGAGGTTTTCTGGGGTTCTGGCTATATAAAAGACAAAATGGAAGACACTGAGGAATTTAGAGCTACTATCATGAAATTGAGGGCAGTTTTAAGAAAATCATTTATGGAACTGGGAAGTAAGAAGATCCTCTGTCAAGCCACTACTGCTCTGGATCTTTGTTCATCATTTTAGTGCTGGCCACCAGCTAAACTAAAACACCTTTGTTTGCACACTATAATTAACAGCACAAAAAACCTGTAGGAAGAAATTATATTGATCTTCAATTATGTGAAGCTGGCTGAGGAAGCCCAGAAGCTGGGACACCTTTCTCCTGACTCAAGCAAACACTCGAGGACCAGATTTGAAAGCTGAAAAGGGAAAAACCTCTAAGAGAGAATCACTTGGGCAGGACACAATTCCCTTTGAGAGAGCACCCAGCACTGTGCTGAGAGCAGCCAGCCCCAGAGCAGAGCTGAGGATGACAGGGGATCATGCACTCGTGGTGTACACTGCTGGGGAACAGATCCACCTCACGTGGCAGCCTGGGTCCCCCTGAGAGCAGCAAGCTCTGGTACAACCTGCTGTGCTGGGCACTGACTGCATTAGGTCCAGGAATCCAGCTGCACTTACCTGGACAAAGACAGGGAACACCAGCACCTTGGGAGCCAGGGTCACATAGGTGCCATAGCTGGAGTGGGGGATGTGTGGCCTCACGATGGTGCAGTTCTGGTAGTTCCCATAGCTCTTCATCGTCTGCACAGTCTTCATCAGCCTGGATTTCCTCCCAGAGCCCACGTGTGATTTCCCTTTACATGCATTTCCTGGGCCAACAGAAAGAAAGGCAGAATGAGGAGAGAGCTCCTGCTGCCAGCTGAGCTCCTGCTGGAGGAGGGCACGGAGAGCCCCAGGGAACAGCAGGAGCTGAGAGCTGCAGGGATGTTCAGCACTCTGCTCTCAGAGTTTCCCAGGGATCCATGAAATAACAGCACTGACTTCATTCTTCCTAATGCAAAATGAGACGTCCCTTGACACATCTGCTCAGTCAGGAGCTGCTTGCTTGCTGGACCAAGGACTTCCCTGGATCACACCAGCAACACAGACACATCTCTGGATGTACAAAGACCCAAGGAAGCCACAGCTGGCTCAGCTGCAGGCCACACGTCTGCCTTCCTCACAATTCATGGGTACAGCACCTCACAGGAAGAGGTGGGGGTACTGTCACACACAGCTCCCCATGCAGTACTGAAAGTATGAAATAAACACAGAACAACCCCAAACAGGGCTTAAAATGGTCATTCCTGACCCACAAGGAGGTTCCCACCTGTCTGCATCACCAAACTATGTCCCTTCCCTTTCCAGGGAGGGAAAAACCACTTGTGACTAACCTGGAGGGGAACCCATAGTGGAAATTTAAAGCTTGGGATGTTTTTACCCACACAAGTCCAGGCTGCTCTGGATTCTGGGCATGGGAGTTAGCAAAGTGCAGGAATGTCCCATCACAGGGCCCTGGGTAGTGAGTTAATGAGAGTTTTCAGAAGATCCTGAAATCAGAGGTGTCAGAGAGAGGCACAGAAGAGATAAACCCCATCAGGTGCCTGGGCTCAACCCCTGCCTTTCCAAACAGCTCCCAGGGATGGGATGGTTGCTCTGACGTGGGGGGTGTTCATAGAGGATGACCTCATTCTGCACCAGGCTGGCACAGCACCATCCACTGCCTTCCAGCATTACATTTTGGTGCTGCAAAACCTCTGAGCAGCCTGAGGGGTTCCTTGCTGTCCCCTCTCCTTGCAGAAAGCCTCATTCAGAGGAGGGGCTACACAGCAGCCTTCTTCTGCAGCCTCCCAGCTCAGCCGGGTGAGCAGAGCTACAACCCTGCCCAAAAAAGGCACCACCAGCTACTGTGGCCACTCCACACCCACCAGGCTGCATCAGCAGAGGCCAGGAGACATTAGGTTGTATGTCAAAGCAGCCCCAGAGTCTATAACATCACTGACAGCCCTGTGACTAAAAGCAGTATTGATAATTATTGATAATTATTGCTCCCTGCTAGCTGCTGTGTGGGCGAGTCCTTCCTCCAGAGAATCATTAAGGTTGGAAAAGACCTCCAGGATCATCAAGTCCAACCATCACCCAACACCAGCATGACCATTAAACCATGTCCCCAAGTGCCACATCTACATGTTTTTTGACCCCTCCAGGGCTGGGGACTCCAGCACCTCCCTGGGCAGCCCAGTCCAAGGTCTCGCTACCCTTTCAGTAAAGAAATTCTTCCTAATATCCAACAGAAACCTTCCTTGGTGCAACTTTAATCCATTTCCTCTCTTCCCCTATTGCCAGGCAGTTGCTGCTATGCAGGACTCCTCAGCCCTCTCCTCCCAGCCCAGAGGAATGCCTCTGAGCACAGCCAGCACACTCCTACCAGCATTGCACCTCACGAGTGAGGCTCAGGACGTGCTCTGAGGAGGCTTCACCTGGATAGGAACCAGCATCTTCTCAGCACCAACACAAGGAGGTGAGAGCACCAGACTGCTGGGAGATGGGTGGTTTGGTGGGTGACTATGAGTCCTCCTCCCCAGATCCATCACACGGAGTCAGGATGAGACCAACACATGGGACCAGACCCAGAGAGAAGCAGCTGAGGTGCTGCCCACGGGGCTGCTGTGCTCCTGGATGTGCTGGGGCAGCAGGGAGCAGCTGGGAAATATTCCCCATTCATGACATTAATCCATTAGCTCCAAGGGCCTTGGCATTCTCTGGTGATGCCAGTGTCAAGTTTTGGCCACTTCAGTGTAGGTGCCAATACCACATTTCTCCTTACAGACACAAACTCCCATCACAGCAGCAGGACCTACACCACTGGGGAGAGAGGGTGGGACAGGTCCATGCTCTCCAGCAGCCCTTAACCCCAGACCATGTCGTGCTGGGCACCAGCAACATGTGCCCTGTCCTAAAACTCACAGGCAACAACTCCAGCAGGAGCTGAATGTCTCTCTAACCAGAAACTCATGCCCTCTCCAAAAGAAGCCTCACTGAAAGATCAAAGTATATCCTCTCTCCTGAAGCTGCTGAGCCAAGCCAGCTCACATGCAGCACAGAGACCTCTCCCTTGGATTTTAACATATCCAGGTGAGAAGCTGGAGCATTAGCCCATTCCCCACAGTGCTATCTCAGGAACATGTATGAACAAAGCTTCCTGCAGCTCCTTGCTACTGGGGAGGGGGGGTCCCAGCAGAGACATCCCCCCAATATCCCTCCCTCCAGCCACCCAGCCCCAGGAGTCCCTGCTCCCCCCAGAGCAGCTTTCTGCACAGTGGCTTCTGCCTTTGGATACCCACAACCTTCCCAGGCAGAAACGAGCCAAAACACTTCTGAACATGGCTCAGAGCAGATAAGGTCTAGTCCAAAGCAAATACACAAACCCACCCCACATTACATATTCCATGAAGCATTAGGAAATAACACACTGGCTTTCAGATAAAGGGCAGCCAAGCCAGACCTCTGTGCACAGTCCAGACCTGCTGTTTACTGCTTGCTTTAACAGCCTGCCTTTGCTGGGGGGTGCCCCTCGTGACCTCAGAGGTTGTTTCCACCCCTAAGGGCAATAATCCTGACATTTTCCCTTTCCCCTTGTTCATGTTTGCACCGCCAGATAAAATCAAAGCACGAGAGAGTCTGACACAGGACAGATACAATCTGTCTGGGCTGTTCAGGATCTGCTTTTCCTCTTATCCCTAAATCACCTCCTTTCATCAGAGGAGTTTATCACCTGCACAAGTCCTGCTTTCTGCACGCTGGCACAGAAACAGATCCAGCCCACTTGAAGTGTCAGCTCCTGTGACAGCTCCTGGTGACTGGTGGCCAGCTCCACACTTCAACACCACTCAGCTTAGTTCCTGCACTCCTCCCTCTGAAGACTTCACATTAAATAAACTGAAAACAATCACTAAAATTCCTTCTGGGAGGTAAGAGTCTTTCAAATCCCACACTGCTGTAAGAACAAGTCCCTGTGGTCCAGCTCATCTTTTCACAGGCTCCACAAACAGCAGGAAGGAGCTGCAATTATCCACGGTACAAAACAACCCCTGCAGTCGAGCTGTGGAAAATTCTTCTGGCTGCTGAGCTCCAGGGCTGGGAGCATCCCAGGCAGGGGGGCCTCATGCCCACGCTGCTCCCTCCTGCTCCCCTTGGCCAGCCCCACACTTTGCCTTCTGTGGATGCTGCCCCACCTTCACAGGCACAACACGTCCTTGCTGGAGGTTGTGCTGCTGGCTGTGCCCGCTCCAGGGAGGGACTGCTGAGCTCAAGGCACTCCTGCAAGATCCTGCCTAGGAGGTCAGCTCTGCTATGGGCATGCAGCTCATCCCGAGGGCATCCTAACAGACCAGGGTGCAAAAAAAAGCTCCCAAAGTTCCCAAATCATGCATGAGTTGCTCATACAGGCAACTGATGCTCCTGCACAGACCTGGGCTCATGCAGTCCCCTGCCACAGCCCTCACCCCACAAGCCCAGCCGTGGCTGGTTCTCCAGGCAGACCCCAGTACACCTGCTGCACAAAACAAGTTTATGCTTCCAAGGGGTTTTGAGGAGACCTGGTCCAGAGACTGCCAGAGACCTTGCAGCAGCCCTGGAATTGAGTATTGCTCAAATCTGGCACAGCAACCTGCACGAGTGCTTGTACAAATGCAAGTCATGGCCACGCTGTCCCTCTTAGTAATAAAATGAACCTCAAAGCAAGGGCCACAGCATTAGCACTCCCTGAGCATGCTGCCATGCATGAGCAGGCAAATGCCACAGACAAGCCTACAGACACATCTGGGGAACCAACACCAGAGCAGCAGGTAGCATTTTCACTCTTCATCTTCTCATCAGCCTCCCTTCCACCACTCCCACGGAGACCTTCTCACCATCCAGTGACACTCAGAGCTCTGTTCTCCTATGGGCTTGGGGGCAGGGTTCTTGCCTTTGTGCTTGATGCAGAGCAGGAAGATGATCCTACCCAAAAGCCCCAGGATTCTGCCACTGTCCTCAGAACATGAGGGGCTCCACTGCAGCAGGGCAGGGCTAAGGACAAGGGTGCAATGGTGCTAGAAAGACCACGCCTAGCTCTGCTGGGTGCTCTGAGCAGTGCTTTCAGCACAGCAGCAACTTACCCACAGTAGTGTTGTTCTCCTGATAGACAGGCCTCAGCAGCTGTAAGACACAACCCAGAGGGGACACAGTCAACTTGAGGAGACTTTACAAGAACCAAGTGCAAATTTTAGCATGCCAAACCCAGCAAAGCCAAAGCAATCCAGAGAGGTAAAAACCACTTTTGCTCTATTGCCAGCAGAAGATGAGAGTAATGACTTGTGCTGTGGTCTATGCAGTGGAAACACCTCCCATACCCTTGCCCCTTGAGTGAGCCCTAAGAGGAAACAGAGCTGGGGTGAATGACCTGCTACACACCTAGCAGTAAATGTTTTGGGAAATCAGGGAAAGCTCCCCTAAGGGACACATGCCCAGCTTGTAAAGATGCCAAGTGCTCCAGCAGCCCTGTAGAGATGATGCTCCACAAAGCTGAAGCACTGCCCAAGAGAAGATCCAGCAAGCACAGCCAAGAGCCGCGTGCAGCAACTTGAGCGTGGGGGGGGGGGCTGGAATTCAGCCCTACCTGGCTCCCCGGGTTCAAAGGTGCCAAGATGATGTAGTTCTGGTCGGCGTGGCCCCGGGACAGGGCTGGCATGGTGTTCTGGCTGCCCTTGCCCAGCTCTGTGTACCTCTCCCAGCCGTCGAGCAGCAGGCGGTCGCTCCCGTCGCACAGCAGGTGGCAGCTGCGGCGCTGCTCGGGGCCGTTCTTCTCCCGCTTGTGGGGAGGGGACTGGAGGTCGTAGGCAGACTTGCAGGAGGATCTGCGGATCATGCCCTCGTGCCCCGGCTTCACCTGAGGGACCAGCCTCCAGACCAGCAGGATGATCTCAGTGGGACAGTTCCTGGAGGAGATGGCATGGGGCAAGTCAGAGCTGGAGCCGGTGGCATCGTCCCAGCAGCCGGGAGCTCTGCGCTCCTGCCTCCCTCTAACGCCCCTGCCCCTGTCCTGCCCACCCCACCCTTTCTTCTTCCACTCCAGAGGGGCCTTTCCCAGCCTCCTGCATCCCTCAAAGCCTTTCCCTTCCTGTAGCCACCCAAAGCTGCAGCTCCACTGAAAACCACCTCTCGCAGAGGGCGGCACTGAAGCTGTGGGTGAACGCTCACCGGATTTCGTGTGCCAGCTCCACACATTTCCAGTGCTCCACAGGCTGCTCGTTCAGCTGCAGCACCGTGTCGAGCTGCTGCAGACCAGCCTTTTCTGCTGGGCCACCTACAAGAGAAGAAACAAAGGCCAGTCACCTGCTGGACAGAGAGCTGAGGGTATGAGGGGCAGAAGCCCTGGGACTAGGAGCTTGTACCACTCACTCCCCTAAACCCAGTCCATTTCCCCTAGCATCCACACCAGAAAAACTGGGGCCAGCTGAGCCTGGAGCTTCACCTTCCAACACACACGTGTACACACAGAGCACCTGGGAACAAGTCATAAATGCTCTCAGAGCCACTGCAGAGAATTCCCTCTGCTTCCTGGGGTGCAGTGTGTGCAGCAGAGACACCGAGTCCATCCCACAGGTCCACACTGAGGGATCCAGTCAGGCAAATGATGGCTTTTGTGATACCTGTTTGACAACCCATCCCCCCTCAAGATCTTTTTCATAGATCTCCCAACTAGCTCTAAGGTTGGAGAGAGAAGGGAACAAAAAATGACTGCAACACACTGCCAAAACAGTGGCACGGGGCTAACCCGGTGGCCTCTGACCTCCCTCAACAGAGCCAACAGAGAATTCAGTAAGTGAGGTTTCCTGGAGGTAACCAGAGCCCTGGCAGGCACGGGAGCTTCTGAATCACCACATGCTCCGGGAAGCAAAACAGGAGCAGAGTCATTCATTCAGAGCAGGAGGGAGGAGAGGGACTGGTCTCTTACCCGAGTCCACCGCCTGCACGCGGACCGGGGAGTCGCAGCAGATGGTGAAGCCAAACCCGTCGCTCCCCCGGGGGATCCTGATCTGGAGAGAGACACCCGAGTCACCCTGTTAAGCAGGAAAGCAGCTGCTGTGGGTGGTCAGCGAGCACCCCCTCCACCCCCACAGCCCTTGGAAGCGCCGACACGAGGCACCTCTAGAGGAGGCAGAGCCCAAAGGAACCATCACGGGGACACTGTCCCTCTGAGCCCCACGGGCAAGGGGTCCCCCCCTGCTGCAGCCCCAGCTGAAGAGCAATGCAAAACCAGCCAGGAGTGCCATGAAATGAGTGTTTAGTGAGCACACATGAGCATCCACTCGTGACTCGTGGCAGTGCAAGGAGAGCTCTGACGAGCCATCAGAAAGGAAAACCTGATGCCAGCCTGGCTGACACCGATTCCTAACGTGGCTCCTCTGAGCAAGTCACTGAAACCTTTCCCTTCCAGCTGGGGGGTACAGGAGCAGGAACAGCAGCACTCCTCTGCTCCCAGCTCCTGTGCTGGAGCAGGCTCTGCACACATCACCCCTTCAGCTGGGAGCAGGATCTCTTCTCTCCCTGAGTCTGGAGAGGGTAGATGCTGTGTTGGTTTTAAGCTCATTTCTCCCCGTAGTTCAAGAAGCATTGAGCTTATTAATAAAATGATATTTCTTTTTTGATGTTGGCTTCCAGCAGCAGCTCAGCGTGACAGTTCCTATAAATCGCTGATTATCCCCCAGGACATTTGTTAAGATCCTTGTTTTATTGACAGAGAAAAGAAAAGAAAACATCCAACATCTGACCCATATTATTTTGGGAACAGTCAGAGAAGAGACAAGAAGTTCAGCAGAAGCTGCCAAGGAGGGCACTGGTTCCTTGCTCCAAGGGCCAACGTAGCAAGCTTGCATTTCTCTGCACCTCGTCCCTGCTCGACTGCTCAGCCTAAAACCAGGCTCCAGAAGAGAAGCTGCCTTTCCCTGGCAGGATTAAAAAGCAGGTCCAGTCCCACTGCACTGAGCATTTTTCTCCCTACAGCCTGCTGGACATCAAAGTGGGGAGGAGGCTGCTTGTGGCTCTGCACCTTCAAACCAGCCTCACACCTCAAATACAGAGCACAGGGGACCCAAGTCCTGCAGAGGCATCACCATCAGCACCTGGGGAGCCAGCCCAGCACCTCTCCACCATGGAGACCCTACAGTCACTTCCCAGCCCAAAGCTCTCCCTGCTCTGAGAGGTCCCCCACTGCTCCCTGAGCTGGCTGGCTCTTGTCCTCTGCCAACAGAGACACTTTCCCTGGGCCACCAAACAGCAGCTTCTCGCTGCTGATGGTTCCCTTCCCTCAGCTCCCACCAACACCAACGCGTGGTGAACATCTACTGTTGGTGCTGTGCACAAAACTAAGAACTGGGAGCACCTGACATAAGCTGGAAGGTGGCTGGCAAGATGGTGAGAGACTCCAGCACCACAGAGGCTCACTCCACCCGTAACCTTGTCAAAATATGCAAAAGAAAGAGTCAAAATAGAGAACTGAGGAGGCCAAGGACACAAATCACTGTCAGTTGTCACTCATGCAAAGCTTTTCCTGCATGAGACAGTCACTACAGCCCTGACAAGAATTAGCAGTTTTAGTTAAGTTGGTTCTTTGAGCAATTCCCAAAATACAACATCCCCCACCACAGCGTTAGCATGACGTGAAAGATGAGCAGAGAAAAAGCTGAGTGAGAGCTCAGAGCTCCAAATCCAGACCACGGGGGGAAGTTCTCTATGGAAGTGCATGAGATTGGGATCTGCACAAGCAAACCCAGCACCTGGCATCACAACCTGAGCAGGTCCAAGAGATCTCACACCAACTTCTGCAGAGCCCAGCAACCTGCTCCTCAGAAAGCAAGTCGCCATCGGTTTAACCAGCTCCATGCAACTCTTAATTCCCAAATACATTCACATTATTACAATTTTGAAAAGAGACAGCAGCAGCCTGGCAGACTTAGCTGCCTGCTGTAACGAGTGGGAAATTGAGACAACACCTCCCAGCTCAGTGTGCTCACCATCAGCTTGCTGCCCACAAGTGAATGCTCCCCTTCGATCCCCACTTACACACCGCAGCAGCAGGCAGAGATCGGCTGGAGATCTGAACACGCTTTCCTCGTACTCCCAACATTATCCTTGACTAATGACAGCAAATCAGCCCTAGGAGCAGCTCACGCAGAGCCCCAGCAGAAAGCAAGCCCACAAAGAGCGTGGAGCTCAGCCCAGGCGTGCAGCCAGCCGCAGCCGCGCGGGTTCCCCGGCACAGACCTGCCTGTATCTCCGCTCCGAGCACACCTTGCAGAGTCCAGGGAAGCGGTTCATGGCTGGAAACCCCCAAACTCGCCGTTAGCCCATCAAAAT